GCTCTCTGCCGTCCATTCAAGGTAAGAATTTTTTGCTAATACCTACAGCTTTGTCTGTCTTCATTGTGTACAAAACTTGGTCAAGATCATGAGTTTGTGAGATCCTCTTTGTTCTCGTTCGAGAATAGAGTACCATTATGATCCTTTTCCTAATACGCGTTCTGTAAATAAAATCGTCGCCTCTGCAACGTCCCTTTCTTCGGGTGTCTAGCATAACTCACTTTCCGTTCCTACCCGTACCCTTTCGAGCCTCTCTTCCCTGTAGCTACTTCTTTTCACTTTTAATCATTCCCACTGACAGGGTAGGTTTTCCAGAAAATTTTCTTGCAAAAGCGGTACCTTGTTTCTCACCCTTCAGTATACCAACACTTTTCAGCTCCGCGTTGAACAAGCTTTAGCCGGAGAGTCTGACTCCGTTGTGCTCTACCGCCTTTCTGCTCTCTTCATGTTTTATGCGGAAAAGATCACGTTTGTATTCATCGCCTACATGTGTCAACTTTGCCATGCTGAAACATATGCGTCTAATTTCAGACCACAAATTGGAGCAGATTCAGAATTGGCGCGTACCGTTGAAGAGCTCAACCAGCTAACACTCAACATCTTTTACAGTGGTTTGACTGGTGCCGTACAGAAGATACTATCCAAGGTTTGTAAGAAATATTGTAATCAGTATTGATCGTAGAGCTGAAACTGGTTTGATTATACTGCCAATCAGAAGTCTCACCTCTCACGCTCGCCCTAGTGAGAACGTGGGCGGAATTGAAATTCATGTAAAGTTTGGAATTTTGCCCAATTGATACGCAGAATATCTTTTGTCTCGATCCAAATTTTTGAGACCAATTTGAGGTCTTGAGCTGTAGATTTTTCAGTAGTACGTATTTGTGGGCGAGGATGGTGTAGTGGCAGGTAACGCATTATCACACACGCATGGTCACGGGTTCGAATCCCGGATCTACACGCACCCGAGGCAACCAAACATTCCCCCTCCGGTTCCGTTAACTGATATCATACATTCATCTAGGAGGGTAAAAGACATGGGCTGGCCACTGCACAGGGATCATAGACATTCGAACCGACAGTCTTTATCCGTCATCCAAATTTTGTATTTACAGATGGGTGCGCCAGATTACGATTTGCTTCCCGTGCCAGCTGTTCATCAAGTTCTTATGCTTTTGAGGTTGGTGATAATTTCATTCCTGTATATCTTGTAACTCGCCTGGGCAAAGTTTGGCCTTTTTCTGCACTAATTTTTGAAGGGTTTCAGCTTGGGTTTCAAATTTTTTTGAGTATCATGCACACAACAAATCAAAGGAAAGAGTTTCTCTCTGTTTTCGGTGGGGTTCCTAGTCCTTAAGTGTTGGCTTCTCGAGCTCGCTACAGCTCTAATCGGCCGAATTTTCAGCAGCAGTTGCTTTCCTTAAAGTCTGTCGGTGCTGTCTACTTATTGTTAGGCCGCATACGGTGTCCCCTACAGTTTGATTTACAAATAGGTTAAAAAAATTGTAGGAGAAACCTTGCTGAGCAGGGCTGTGACAATTACAAAATAGCTGTAGTAAGGTAAATTAGTCAGTGAGGCAGTTTCATAGAACGAAACTCAATTTTCGAAATGTCTCGATTCAGAGACGTACTTGATACCCATGATGGCGCAATGGCTCCACGTCAGAATGCAGCAGAAGAGTACAATAAAGTTCGTTCGTTTTAATCGAGACACTATAAGTGACGCGTTAATCTTTCGAAAGTTTTTTTTTCAGATTTTTGGTTGTGTGCTGGATCCATTATACAGATCAGTTCAAGT